CTGGGTGACAGCCCCTGGGGGATCCGGGCAGGAGGGGGTGGCTGTGACACAGCAAGATGGATAAGGCCCCTTCAGGGCACCAGGAAGCCCACCTGGGGCTGAGGGGATGTGGCTGAGCTTGCGGGTGCCAGGAGGCCGCTCAGCCCTGCCTGGGGGGCCTGAAGTGCTTGGGGTCAGCCCATAGGTTTGATGGTTATTTTACATTTCTTTTCATTTAGTTTTTATTTATGCATAGATTATGCATTCAGTGTTTCCAGAACTTAAGACACTATTAAAAGGTCACTCCTCCCACCCAGCGGCGGGTCCTCTCTGCAGTGCTGCTAGGAGCTCTCTGTGTTTCCTTCATGTCTCTGATGCAAACACAGATGGCTCTTCCCACTTGTCTCCTTTCCTGAGCAAGACAGTCACCTGCCCTCACCGTTCCACACCTTCTTTCATTTAACAACGCTTCCTATAGATGATCCCACAGCAACCCACAAAAAGGGTCCATTTGTCCACCCACACATGGCTGCAGAAAGCCCCAACTACGTCTGTATGCATTCAGGTCCCTGTGGATGGACATAGGCCACTTCCCGTGTCGGCCCTCTACAAATAACACCACGAATGCCCGTGCAAACCAAACCTGTAGGATGAATGCCGGGAAGGGGTGGCCACATTGGAGGAGTGGCAGCCCAGGGAGAGACCACCAGGCAAGGAACCGAGGCCCCATTCATTCATTCATTCACATTCACAAATCTCTACATGTGTGCCAGATGCTGTGCTGGGCACTGGGCGTGCAGTGGGGTGTGACTGATTCACGGCCTCAAACTCGTCGGAAAGGACAGTGAGTCAACAATCTGCTGCAGATGAGAAAACTAAGGTTCAGAGACGTGGTGTGACTTGTCCAAGGTCACACAGCAGGCACGTGGCTCAGCTGGGATTTGTGGGCAGCCCTGATTGTATCCATGCTTCTCCCACCCTGGACAAAGGGCCCAGCCCCGTGGCCCTGTTCCTCTGTCCTTCCCACCCCCAACGACTTGTCCCAGGTCTCCTGGGGTGGCCCCACCTCCACCTGCCCAGCCGAAGACAACCATCCATCCATCTCCCTTTGTCCTGGCCCCAGGGTGCTCAGGTGCCAGCTGTGGCTCCCCGTCCAGGGGTGTGAGGACCTGTCTTTGGTGCTCAGACCATGGGGTGGGTGTGGGGGCAGCGTGTGCCCCAGGTTTCGGGTTCTGGCCCCTGCCCGGGCTCTTGGCAAAACTCCTTGTTGCCCTCTCATCGGTGTGAGTTTCAGCAGGCTGGGGGCCCCTTTGAAGTCGGGAGGCCCAATCCCCCAGACCCCAGGCTGTCCCAGGAGCCCCCA